CACACACACACGCACAAACACACACACACACACCTTATATTGGACCCATTGTGCTCATTTCTTTCTTTATCTTTTTACCTGTCATGTGTGGCAGTTTTAGCAAACAGAATCATGAATGCTTTGTTTTACCAAGAGGAGAACTATGGCCTCTCTGTAGGCTCCTATTGTTAATCTGTTTTTGTTTATATATTTTTTACATTATTATCAGAGTGGGTGTTGTGGTGAAGCAGACAGGAGGTTGAAGGCCAGTTTGGTGAAGGTGGGGAGTCTAGGTTGATGCAAACAGGGTCTCCACCTGCTGCATCTGTAACAAAACACAAAGCACCTGAAAGACACGATGACGGCTCGGGAGCCTCCGTGGACGAGTTTCTTTCAGATCAGGAACAGGACTCTGCATTGCTCCAGGATCTCTGTGAGGAACTGAAGTTTATTGCTCTCAGCTCCCACCCACGGCTCTACACCAGCTCTTTCTGTTTCAAGTTTTCCAATTTGGACACAGTTGGTCTGGGTCTGCGTCCATTTACCATGTGGAGTTTGAGGTGGATCTAGATGTAATGTCTCACTGTAGTTTGCAGGTCCTTTGCTGCCTTCTCTAGGATGCCTCCAGGCCGAGCATGCTGCAGGCCTGGAGCTCGACGACAGTTTCCTTGATTTTTTATTTTTCGTCTGAAATCTGGGTCATACCGTCGCTGAGGGATGACCCCGACTCCCCCCGGCCACAGCAGTGAGTGTTCACCTGCGACTGACTCCACGGACTTACGCAGCACCTGAAAGTCTTTATGCAAGATTTCCATTGGGGGCAGGTATATGTCAAAGCTCGATGGGTTTTTTTTATCTACGGACACCAAAATCTCCATCGTGTTGCTAGTCTGAGGAGAAGCCCGTTCCAAACATGGCAACATCCCTTTGCTGCTGGATGGAGTCAGTGCCTTGTTTCCCCATAACAATGGACCTTAAAAACTTGTCAGTATACTGCTTCTACTGTCCCGGTCTTCTTTGTGGTCCTCCAGAGTGCTTAAGTTGGTTGAAACTAGGGCTGCCACGATTAGTCAACTAGTCACGATTACGTCGACTATCAAAATCGTCGACGACTGATTTAATAGTCGACGCGTCGTTTGAAGCTTTGTAAGATCCCAAAAGACGCAGGAATAAGTAGTAGGATTT